TGCAAACGAATCTGTAAAATAAATGTTCACTAGGTCTTGATGAATGACTAAAAACCTATGCAGAAAGTATCACGAGATGCCACACAAAAATCTACTATTCTATTCAAAGCATTGGAACCCTAAGCGCCTGCATCAGTGGAATCCCAGGCCGGTGTCAGATTTTGCGAATCCAGCGATTCGCTAGCGAATCGCTGGATACGAGCGTTGCACCAGCGAATCGAGCTGTGTACCAGCGGATCGAACGATGTACCAGCGATTCAAAATGTTTGAAAGTGGTGGGACTCCCTCTCGTTTGCACGTTGACTCTCGCTATTTCTCGAACTCCCATGCCTCTCAGTCTCATGCCCTCGTGGGCTTGGGAAATGGTGAAAGTTTTCAAATTATTCGCCACTTTCAAACAATGTCGAGTCGTTGGTACATTTACTCCGCTGGTGCACAGCTCGATTCGCTGGCGCAACGCTCGTATCCAGCGATTCGCTAGCGAATCGCTGGATTCGCAAACTCTGACACCGGCCTGGGATTCCACTGATGCAGGCGCTTAGGGTTCCAATGCTTTGAATAGAATAGTAGATTTTTGTGTGGCATCTCGTGATACTTTCTGCATAGGTTTTTAGTCATTCATCAAGACCTAGTGAACATTTATTTTACAGATTCGTTTGCAGAATGTCTGAATTCTCCCGACTATGCCAAGCCGCAGGGATAATGAAACCAATGTTTCTCTTTATTGGTGGTGGCAATATGGCTTCAGCATTAGTACACGGGTGTATTGAATCAGGTGTGTTGTATCTTCTAAAAGTGTAAGTTTTTGGAGGTCGATGCTCATGTTACATATTCATTCATAATTCTATATTCCTATTTTATTTTGTTTTATTCTATTTTGTGGCTTGAATTTTTTTCAAAGCTTAATTGCGCGCATTGTGAGTGCCTTATTAAGGAAAATGGCACTATTCCACTATTACTGCCCCAAAATCTCAAAATTTTATTTTTCGTCGAAACTTTGCCTATAGGGGTAATTCGATGCCCTGATTACGAATATGACATTCATTTTTGATGCTGGCGCCATTTGGCGCCACCTTGTCACGACGGCTGTTTTCACCAAATTCGGTGTAAACTTGTACATAGGGGTTATTTGGTGTCCTGATTACGAATATGACATTTATTTTTGACGCTTGCGCCATTTGGCGCCTATTTTCTGCTCGTCTGCGCCCTCGCACTGGGTTGATCACTATCAGGACTATGGGTAACGTAATCAAGGCACCAAATAACCCCTAATGTACAAGTTTACACCAAATTTGGTGAAAACAGCCGTCGTGCCAAGGTGGCGCCAAATGGCGCCAGCATCAAAAATGAATGTCATATTCGTAATCAGGGCATCGAATTACCCCTATAGGCAAAGTTTCGACGAAAAATAAAATTTTGAGATTTTGGGGCAGTAATAGTGGAATAGTGCCGAAAATTCTGCAAATTTCACAATAACCTAGCAGTTTTCAGTGATTGTGTGTTTCATTTGTTATATAAGGCAACATAAGTAAGTGAACAATGAGGAGTGGTTTTTTTTTTCAATTGAAAGCGGATCAAAAAGAAATCCTGCCCCTCGAGACTTCAAATATTTGGAATAGTGCGTGATTGGCGTTGAAGGGATAATAATGGCGCGACTTATGACAGGAGAAAACTAAGGCTGGTGCCAGAGTCCGCGATTCGCGCGGCTCCCCCTTTCTTCACGATTTGGGGCGCGGCCGCGGCGAGCGCGGACGAGTCCATAGTGCCCGCGAACTGTGGTGGTGGAGCGTTTTCAAATTTACCCGCACAGTTCGCGGGCACTATCGACTCGTCCGCGCTCCAAATCGTGAAGAAAGTGGGGGAGCCGCGCGAAACCTGTGACGGGTCACAGCACAAGTGTCCCGATCAATACTGCAAGGATCCCGCCGCCATTTCTGCTTGATGTTGATGACTGTTCACGATTCTAGTTGTTCCATATTCAGTGTTTCAAATGTTCAAATGGGGCACCCGGAATTTTTGCGATCCGTGTGACGGAAGTCTCAAAAAAATCTGCGAAACCTGCGACGGATCGCGGACTCTGCCTGCCTAACGAAAATTCTGAAGAGCAGGAGGAGCCGAAACTAGTGTAATCCCTTTTCATTTTGAACTTATGTCTGCACACCAAATTTATAAATCGTCATTGAGTCTCGAAAGTTCTTGTGTTTTTTTTTAGGTTTTGTAGCTTCAAAAGAAATAGCAATTAGCTGTCAGTCAGAGGCCACTCAGCATAGATGGAAGGTAATGGTGCCGCGTTTTTGCTTACTTTTATTCACCTCATATCCTTGCATATCCTTTCAGTGTGAAGGTTTCGATAATGTGTTTACATCAACGGCATCAATGGTTAGAACATTTCCGTACGGTATGCCTTTGTTCTCGTTCCTACCATTCACATTGCCTGAATTGAAATTTCCATGAATTGTGTTGTGTTGTGTTAAGGGATTGTGGTCCTAGCCGTCAAACCTCAGTCGAGGCAGGCTGTGTATGACTCGTTAACGTCCAACAAAGCATCCTTGGAGGGTTGCCCCTTGATTATATCCATTTTAGCTGGGATCGATATTCCTACTTTGAAGGCAGAGGCAGGTTTTTTTTATCAAATTTGAACTAAAGTACTCAACGCTCGTCGAGCGTGGCAAAAATTTCGAGTTCTTTTCAAAGCGCAGGAGTACATACTTGAATTGGCACAGTGTGTTCAAATACGCAATCGACGTAGGATAATCAAAGCGATCGGCAAAGGCCGATGTCAGCCTGCGAATCCACGGATTCGCAAAGTATGATCCTATACCTTAATACATTGCTCGCGAAAATTAGCGAGTAAGCAAATGATGGATTTAGGGCATACACAGGGAAGTGATCGAATTCTCCCATTCGGCAGTTCGTTTGTGCTGTTTCTGTGCCGTGAGTGCTATTTCAAGCGAGTACACGCAGACAACCGAACTCGCTGTGCCAATCCATGAATGTTGCTCCAGTGCTTCAGTGTCTTGAACAACACGATACGACACAACACGACACATTTCCCCGTTTACTTTCATGTTCAATAAAATAAAACGTCATTTCAGTTGAGCTCTACTCTTTACCATGGTCCAGTCATTCGAATCATGCCAAATACAGCCGCTTCTGTCGGTAGCAGTGCTTCCATTCTGTGCGTTGATTCTAAAGACACCGCAAAAGAAAAGGTTCCAACTTCGAATCGGGACTTTTCGCTTAATTGATACAAATGCACTTTCAGATAGATATCGCCAAGACCTTTGCTTCTAAAGTTGGATCTTGCGTAGAGGTTGATTCCAAAACCTTTAACGCCTATGGTGTTGTGTCAGGATCAGCGCCGGCATGGGTGAGTCCCAAGGTTTCCGATTGGTTATCTAAAAATTGGATAACTGAACGAAATCGCGGAAAGGCATCACGTTTGAACATAAGGAGAGTCGTGCTGTTAAAACTCCTGAAGTTTTTCAAGTCTCGTCAGATCAAATCTTGGTGGTTGTCTATGAACGTCTCTTCATTATTTTAGCAACGGATTGTTTTATCCTACGGTCTGGAAGGGGAATGTACTCTTGAAGCTTGTATTATTGCAGGCAGGGGCTAATCAAGTAGGTGCGGACTTTGCTGACACCTTGATTTTGAATCTGAATGGCCGATGTCAGACTTTGCGATTGGAGCGATTGTGCACCAAATTGCAGGAGCGACGGATCGCTTGAGCGATGCGAGCGACGGGAGATTTACACCGCCGACCACCGATAATTCGGCGCCATCAGTTCGTAAATCTCCCGTCGCTCGCATCGCTCAAGCGATCCGTCGCTCCTGCAATTGGTGCAAAATCGCTCCAATCGCAAAGTCTGACATCGGCCAATGAGTCCAGGCGAACGAACTGGGAAATGTCATGCAAACTGTGTAGATTGGCGCTAACCGTAGCTTTCAACGGTGCCAAGCTAGGAGACACGTGAGCCAAGAGAAACGAAGGCATTCCGGAGGGGGGAGGGGGAAGGTGAGCGTGAGCCATTCTTTTTGGCAGAGTTTGAGCGAGTTTATTGTGGTCATACACTTGTATTAGGCGTTTCGAAAAGTTCTGACATCTACCGTTTCCTGACACTCCACATTTGTAGATGTAGTAATATGTTGTATGTAATTATGTAGCATCAATGCTGTATGGGTCTATGAGCAAGTTTGCTGATTTTTTTTAACATATTTCAAAGATCCTGAATGTAGCGGGTAATTCAGATTTAACCCGGTGACTGGCTTAGATTCGCATAGTGTCTAAGCGGGGCATTAAATAGCGGTATAAGCGAAGCCGAGGTCTTGCGATATATATGTGGTCGTCAGATAGGCGTTGCATTTGACAGTCAAGTTCTGACTGAGGCACTGTGCGTAGGTACAATTGGGAGTTGCTGCCACCTGGGTATTGTTTGTGGGAAGGCAAGGTGATAGAGGATAGTTGGAAAAGGCATAAAGATTAGGGAGGGGGCGGCCGCGACAAGTATCTACAGTGGGGAGGGTTTTTTAGGCTTGTTTTATGTTGTGTTAGGCGATCGCTCTGGTACGATTTGCGAGTACATGAAGAACGGATCTTTTCCTATGGCCCGCGGCACTTTGCTGAATAGCTCGACGGCGATCCAGCTCTACAAACCTTGCAAAACTTAAACTGTATTGAAGGAGGGTTATGGCAACTTTATCGGGTCAACGGCTGGCCAAGTTCCCTCATCAGGTGAACTGGTTACAGTTGGGGGAACTTATTAACATGTTGATGGTAAAGTTAACAGGACTTTCGGATATTGGATTTAGCTTTTTATTATAAAAGAGGTAGGATCATGGATGGCAGTCATCTGACAGAATATCGACAGCAACCCTGACAAGGCGAACGTAGGTTGAGTAGGGATGCTGCAGTATATCTACCTCAGTAAACTCTTGTCATCAACTGGTTAGCAATTTTTCGGGGCCTCGGCGGTTTCCTTTAGAAAATGGTTCAATCAACCCTGCTGACCTTTCCTAGTTCTCACCTACAGAGCTCGCGATTTTTGAGCAAACTAACTATGGAACGGGGTTTATAGCGGAAGGTTGGGCAGGTCGACAGTTATCATTTAAGCTTGAAGGGTTCGTTTTAAGCGAGTATACATGCCATTAGAAAAAACATTTAGGCGGTTTTCGAAGAATCAGAGATGACCACTCGTTATCACTTAAGAGGAAGTGGTCACGATAATTTTCATGGGAACGATAAGGGAAGCTATGTATTGGAGTGGATAGAGGTCCTGCCCAGTGTTACAACACGTGAAGTTTCAGTGGCAGTGGCGCCTCAATCAACGGAGTGATAAGGCGCCGAAATCCACTTCCGTTCAGCAAAAACCAAGACTTATCGATGTGGAAAGGGGTGCGATAAGAGCGTGCTAGATATGATAACTCAGGGCCACGCCTAATATCAGATTGACCGAGCGTTCCGCAGGAATAATCAGTGGACCGAGAGACCGCACTCGCCAGGGAACAAGTGTTAGCGTGCGAAAGCGAAAAGGTTCGCTGGTCATAGTGAACAGACTTCTAAGGCTTTGGGGAACCTGAATATAATAATTTATCCGAGATCGACTGACAGTTGGCGCAGGCGCTTCGTATAGCATACATTATAGAGCGTTCATGATGAATCACCTATATTGTGTAGGTGGAACTCTATAAAAAATCTGGGCTATGGATCGGTTGGTACCACCGATATTATGCTCGCGGCGCGCTATGCTTCCTTTCGCAGTGCCCTAGTTTACTTGCTGTAAGGGATTTGATTTAACTCGTCGCCGCGGTGCCGCTTGATGTTTACTGCTCTAACGCCATGCGCAGAAGGCGACCTTCATCCACTCTTTTTTCAGGCGTACATGTTCATGGAATCGCTTGCTGATGGAGCGGTGTATGCTGGATGTTCTCGGGAAATCGCAATGAAACTCGCTGCTCAGAGTCTACTGGTGAGTTCTGAGCAATTTCTGGTCACTTAGGATCCGCGCGTGCATTATTTGCTTTTGCTTGATGAAGAAAGAGCAGTGCTAATACAGTTATAGTACAAGGAATCAAAAGCAGGCACAAAAACTACGTTGTTCATGATGGGCATCGGTAGAATTAGCGTCGTACAGGCTTAGGGTATTTGACCGGCGTACACGCACTTTGGGCAAGAGGGCGCAGATGTAAGCAACAAATTGATGCAGTCTCAACGACTCGCACTATCTGTCCCTGATTCTGGCGCACCCAGTGCATGCAGTTGGACTCAGGCGATGGGTTGGTATACGGTGTTCTTGCAGAATGCGAGGTTGGTCCCTTTGCAGTTCAACGTTTTTGCTGCGGGGTGACGATGCAGCGAAACATCTGCAGCGCGATGGTGCCCTCAAACACACGACAGGGGCAGTGTATTCCCCTGGGCGTGCTCGGCACCGTTAGGCCATACTCAGCGTTCAGATCAAGGTCAAGCGTCGAGGAAATTTCGAAATACACCCCGTTCCCGAAAGCCTCGAAAAAAGAGGGAGACTCGCGATGAGGAAGCCGGAGCCCGTAATGAAGCGAATGGAGCGGTGGAACACATTGGTTATAAAAAATATTTCTCTAAGACGACATAATTCTAAAATGTCATCCAAATAATATATGCATATACATGTATCAGTCCGTATAGGTTTGTATACTCGATATCGGTGAGTTGGGGTGGGCGTGTCACCGGAAGTGACGTGCACTTGATAGAAACTATGTGGATAAGCTGCTTCCAACATACATCGCTGGATATCAGCAAAGCATGCTGGCAACAGCTTATCCACGCACTTCTATCAAGTGCACGTCACTTCCGGTGACACACCCACCCCAACTTTCGGATATCGACTGTATTAACCTTTGTGCAAATTGCACA